TCAAGCATACAAAGTTCAAACCTAGACAGAATACACTAAACCTCTTCAGTACTAATGCCAACAGGTTTTGGTAGTGTTACACATGGTGAGGTTCTAAAGCAGCACTACACCAACACAAGAAAAACAGTCCCAAACCTCAATGCTCCTGACAGTTCTATGCACACATGCCAAAGCTAGATTTAAACCAAGTATGCGTTAAGTGAAAAAAAATACAAACCACAAACATGACCAGGAATTGAACCATAACATGCTTAAACAGAAAGTTGGTGACAACAATTAATGCCAAAGATCTCATGACAGCAAAATTTTGGCCATTTCAATGCTAATCTGTTAAATACCAATTCAGATATATGTAAAGTTTAAGATATTCCACTACTACCTCATTATCCACCCTTTTTAAAAAAAAACAGTTGTGATGTATTAAGGAATCAGAGCATGAGATATTTGGCAGTCAGGTTTGAAACAGAATGGCACGCATTGCAAATTTCCATATGAGGATACATCAATAATGCAACAGGCTTGAGAATGGCATATGCACAACTATCACAAAAATTGTCCTATGCTAGATTCAAACAACAAAAGATCAAGTATAGCAAGAGCCATGTTAGGCACAAACAAACTGAGATGCTCAAAAGCAAATCATCATCCTAACTTAAACTAAAACAACACCAATATCAAAATGTACATGTAAACAAAACTTGACTTTCAAACCACAACAAGCATAACAGCTGTGAACCAAAAAACTCCTAGAGTTCAAACATGACCTAGGTTCAAAATATCATTATGAGATGGTTAACAAGACACTTAAACATGACAATGATCAAGGCAAGCACCAAAACTGACCGATTTTCATATAAGCTACATTTTGCATTTAAACACCAAATATGTCAAGTATGTTTATGACAGAAATAAAAAGGATAGTAACCACTAACCTCTTGTAGACCTCCAAGAAAGCTTGTTGCACTATGGAATGCCTTGAAGTCACTCCAGCTGCTGTCCAACTTATACTTTGATGAAAGTAGCTTTTCTTGCCCTTGAAGGAACTTGTGACAGATCTCAAAATAAATGAGGATGAAGTTATTTTAAGTTATGGATAGTTGATACATCATATATCAAAGGTGTATGGATGGTTAGAATGGTTAAAACAGGTCTGGACAGAGGCTTGCTTGATATTGTGTATGTGGTCAAACTTTGCTTGGTTGAAAGTTGACTTTTGGGAAAATGATGATTTTTAGTGGTTTAAGAGTATGAACACCTTTCACACATCATTTGTGGATTGTGCAGATGGTTTTTAAAGGGTTGGAGTGTGTGGAAATGGATTTGGGAAGCCAACTGCCCAAGGCAGATTTTGATGAATTTTGAAAATGAGGCAAGCAAGGAAAGAAGGAGAGTTGTAGTTTTCTATTAGTTCTAAGAGTGCTCTGGTGTGTTTAACAACATAGAGAAAGGTCTCTATTTATAGGGAGAGTGAGGGTGAGGGAAGCCTTGGTTTTTGGCCTTTGGAGGGAAATTTGGAGAAAATCTTCCACAAAATCTTGAGACATCTTCATCCATCATGCTCTTGGCTCAATGCAAGCAAGAACTCAAGTGGAATGAGGTGTGTGAGGTGAATGAATAGTGCCTAGAGTGTTGAGGTTACAACTGCTACAGTCTTGGAGAAAAAGTTTCTCTTTCCTCTTTCACATTTCTTGATTATTATATTAGCCACTTGCTTCAACTTGCTCTTCTCTCTTCACATCTTTCATTTTTCTGCATTTTTACTCATCCACACCTCTAATTATCAGATTGAACATGATCCAATGGCTGAGGGTAGCCCAAGTTGTTGAAATTTGAATTTTGGAAAAAGTTGAAGTGGTGACTTCAAGTGTGGCAGCCCTAACTTCCATGATCCATAACTCTCTGCTCACAAATGCCATTGAGGAGTTCTACCATATTTTAGAAATCCCTCAAGTAGCTCTACAACTTTCATGTTTTTGAGATTTTCAAATTCTCACTGAAACTAGGTCAAAAGACCTCTCAAAGTTGTTGAAAAAACATACTTAAAAGGCCAAATAACTTAAAATTTTCCCAAGTTATTTCCCTTCTTGAAATGAATTTGGTCATAACTCCAAATCTATGCATTTTTTGATCATGGACCACTTTGGGATTTTTGTAGGACTTGTCAAGATATTTCCAATGAGCTTTGAACCAAATCAATTGGATGTGTGGTTGAGGAGTTATGGTCTTGCCCCTTTCAAAACCCTAATTCCCGATTTTTGCAATTACTCCCTAACCCTTGATCCAATGGTCATGAAATTTTATGGGCAGGTGTAATATGACATAAGGAACATTTTTGATTCACATCTTGAAGTCAAATTCCTTATGGTTGAAGAGTTGACTTTTCGGTCAACCGTACAATCAATCGGTGACTACCGAGTCGACTGTTGATGTTTCGGGTATTTTGAGGCCTTGAAACTTCTTGATTAGACTTTACTAAGTCATAGGAACTTCATGGACCATAATCCCACCATTGGAACACTTTTTAAATCAAAAGTCAAACCACAGTTGACTTTTCCTGATCGAAAACCCTAATCGGGTATCCTGAACTGCACTGTTCTCAATTACTGGGTGACAACCTCAAATTGGATTCATACTTGACCCAATGTAGTATCCTTGATCTTTTTTATAGTTGAACACTTGAATCTTGCTTACGATCTCTTTGAAGGGTTTGTGAAAGTGTAGCAAATGAAGAAGAAAGAGTTTGGCGCTAGTTATTTTGATTAAAACCCATTGAAAGACGCATCTTTGTGAGTTTTAAAATAAGGGTTATTACGAAGAAGCATCCCCAAAAATATTTTTGAGCATTATAGGGTAGCTCACTAAGGAAAGCGTTGAAGATGTTAATTTGGGTGCGTTCGAAGATGCATCTCCAAAATCTAAAGATTTTTGTGACTTTTCATCGTGATGAACTAGTACCCATGAAGTGGATAAAGTAATGCCTAAAAACTTCGGTGGGTACTATATGTTAATGTTTTTTAATATGAATTTCACTTAGTTTAGTTAAAGCTATTAATTCAAACTTAAACTTAAGCACGGATGAATGTCAAATTTGTCTCACTTATTTAAATTATAAAAAGCTCAAAGAATAGTATTTACAATTACACGAAAATATTATTTAATTTAGGGTTAAATATGTTAGATAATCAATTTAAGGGGTCAACACGAGGAGCATTTGTACATTCCTTAGGGTTTTTTTTCTACGAACAACACACCTTGTGAGAGACACACCACATACTCGCCAAAAATTTTAAGATGATAGGTGTGTGGATTCTCTTATAAATGCTCAAGTCTCTGGTTTTCTAATTAATGTGAGACTTTCTCACACTTTGTTTCTCAAAGTTCTTAATTCACACTTGCTTGTAACGACACTCTTCAACGGAACACCTCCTACCCACCACCCGTGGGGAGTACTTTCGATACAAAGAGGTTGGTCTCTCAGTCGAACGAGACTTTGATATCATTGTTGAATCATCGATTCTGGGGATCAACACGAGGAGCATTTATACATTCTTTAGAACTTTTCTCTTTGAGCAACACACCTTGGGAGAGACACCACATACTCACCTAAAATTTTAAGATGATAGGTGTGTGGGTTTTCTCACTTATAAATGATTAAGTCTCCACTTTTCTAATCAATGTGAGATTTGTTTGTTTCTCAAAGTTCTTAACTCACACTTGTTTTTTTTCCAACAGTGAGCGAATTTTTGTTTATTCCTCTATAATTTTTTTTTGATTCTCCACTTATAATGTAAAGATTATGTTATTTTGCCTCCTTAGATTGACAATTTGACAAAAAAATCTTCATTTTTACCATGCGGCCGATTTGTGTGTGTTATTTTTAGTTCGCGTGGATTTTTTTAATAATTTTATTTGTTTTAACTTCTTCTTTTTTTTATTGATGATACTTTTTCTAACACGGACAGTGAAAATTTGTGCACGTTTGCTGCAAGCATGAGATTACAATTGTGGATGTTAGATTTATTTTTACGTAAACAGTCTTCTCAACGCGAAGAGAAAAGGTCTGAGAGTTTGTGTAATATGATTCAAACTTCCACAACAAGAGCTTTACTAGAAAAGTTCTTGAGGCTTGACAGAGAAGCCAGGATTGAAATCTCAACCTCTATGTCATACTTGGAATTCAGTAGAAGGGTTAGAGAAGCAATAGCGTTATCTAGAAAGGCTGCACCTGGTCCACCTCCATTATGTTCAATATGTCAACACAAGGCTCCAGGGGATTTGTCCACAGGGGAGTTCTACCCGAAGGGCAAGTCATTGCTGTCAAGCAACATAAATTGGCCAGCTCTCAGGATGATCTTGAGTTCTACTCAGAGGTTGAAGTTCTGAGTTGTGCACAACATCAGAATGTTGTTATGTTGATTGGGTTATGTATAGAGTATGCCATTGAAGAACTGATTGATCAAAGGTTGGGAAGTCACTATTCAGAACATGAGGTCTCTTGCATGCTACATGCTGCGGATCCTTATTCTCGACCTTGCATGTCACAGGTGAGAAAAACTTTTCAAAAATCAAAGCAGTAATACTATCGTTTATTTAATGGTTCTCCCTGGACGTTATACTCGTGCTTGTTTAATTGCAGGTTTTGCGAATACTAGAGGGTGACACAGTCATGGAATGACCACGCCAAGACTATTGACACGCATCTCTATTTGCTTAAGGGTAATGTGTTGAGTTTTAATTCCAATAATTTGTTACTCTATCCATATATCACGTGTAATTTGTTGCATTATCATCCATAGTGATCCTTGAGAAAAAAAGAGGGTAAAAAATCAAACACTTCCATTTAATCCATTAAACAATACATTCCTAATCCCTAAGGTAACAATTTAATGTGATCCTCGTTTTAGTTCAGTACATTAGAAAACTACATTATCAACCTGACAATAGATTTTAGCTCAAGGTCTACAAAGGCTACAAGATAAAGAAGAGAAGGATATAGATGATCAATTCAAAGGTTTAGCTAATAGTAAATGATTTTCAGGAGAAATGCTAGGCTCAACATATCTGACAAGCTTTGCTTCTAATCCAAGTTTTCTTAACCACATCAACCTCCCTATGTCAATGATCCACTTGCACTTAAATCCCAGTGCTGCTCTTTTTGCGGCTTCCATTTCTGAAAGAATTTTTTCAACTCCATCTGTATATCCATTACCTTGCTCCTTTCTGCAACAAAAACACAGCTTTTAATTTATATAGGTATCAATAACTTATTCAACTCTTCTAAAGTGAGTAGATTGTAAAGTAAGTAATTCTAATAGTTGATGAGAAAATCAATTATTGATATTTTACTACACTAATGATTTACATGTAACATCAACCATTGATTTATTCAGCAATACTTGATATTACTACTTACGTTACACTCTAAGTAAATTGTACATTATAGACGAGTCAGATCCATTAATAACAAGGGTTGAAATACTAATGGACCGGTAGCATGAATTTTGATGACAAAATTATTGATTAAAGAACGGAAGGATTACATTGATTGTAAATGTGATATACAATTAGTAGTATCAGGAAGATCTGAATCATGAGTAGCATCTACAGCCCAGCTGGTAAACCATGTAATGGCATGAAATTCTTCCTTTGTCATTCCCAAATCTAAGAAAAACTTTTTATCTGCAAGGTCACAATAACAGTTAGCTAGTAACCAGAAGTTATCATATATATATGCAAACTAAAGTATTCACAAGAAAAGAAGAAGGCGATTACTTGTGTAGTGTTTCCACTGGCAAAGATGGTGACAACATGTTGCTATAGCTAAACCTCCAAAACTAATATTAGTAGTGTGCTGTTCACTACTATCTTTTTTATATTCAGGAAAGCAGCATCTCAAAGTCAAATCTGAGGAAAAAATTGGATAACCGTTTTTTATTTTAAAAAATTGTAGTCACTTATGTATTCATCAGTAAAACAATCACTGAATTTCATCAGAATGCATAAGCTGCCAAAATTACCTGTTGCAGATCCGCACAGATGTTTACCGGTGGCCAGAAATGGAACTCCTTGCAAAGACTCAACAGCATTCAAATTTAAATCTTCAACTGCAAAGTTGGATTTTTGAATTTTATCGGACTCAAAAAATATTTTATAAACTTTATTAAAAAGAAGAAAATATCTTATAAACCAAGAATACTGAAGACACTTACTGTCAATTCTCAAACGCTCTAACGTCAAGCTCTCATTCTGTCGCAAGGATCGATCAGCCTAGAAATAGCATCGGCATGACGCAAATAAATAAGAAATGAAAATTAAAGATCACTGCAAGTTCAAATAGTTCAGGAACATTTCCAAATATGAAAATCATGACTTAGAACTTGGTAAAAACAGTTCCGGGTCTAAGTCCCCCCACCTTCAACTTGTACGCCTTTCGCTCAACGAGGAAAACTCTAGTGATTCCATAACAATCTGCAAGCATTTGTGTCAAGTACCCTCTACCAGCTCCAAACTCAATGACTGTAGAGACACCATCCTCCTTCTCCTCAACTGTTTCCTCACGTTTTGACTGTTTCCTACTAAGAGAATTCTTCAATACACCAAAACTTTCCAAATTCCCCACAATAGATGCCTGCTGCATTATATGTTTCTCCTGAAATGGCAATTTCCTGCAAAATACTCAAGTTGGAAATAGAAACCAAACCCGTCAAACAAAGGGTTAAATTCAAGGCAAAAGCTACCTTTCTTCTTCCTTGCTTTTAATCCAAAGACTGCAAACATCTGGCATCTGAAACGAGTCTTGAATATCTTTACACAATGATTCATGAATAGATTCAACCTTCTCAATCAAATTGCAGAATTCGGGCACACTCATCCTACGAAGTGCATTCCTCTTCATTTCAGAAGAAATGGTCATAGTGGGCAATCTTGAATCATTAATTCCTGAAGTTTCCTCCTCTTGTTGTTCTCCATCAGAACCAGCATTGATACCTTTTTGATAAAAAGGCTGGTCAGATAGGGATTGAACCTGTTTTAGCAACGGGCACCGCTTAACATGCCATTTGAGATTTTGCTCAAGCACTGAACTGTCAAATGATGAAAGGACATTAACCAAATTAAAAAGATCTAAAAGATTACAGTAATGGATATGGGTTGATAATGAGAGTTACAGGTGACAGAGGGAGAGGAGAGAATAATTACTGCGAAGGATCTACAGGGCATTGAATCCATTGGCCTTCGGGCCTCGAGTTATGATTACCACAGAATCTGGGTCCATAGAAATGAGAGAATGTGAGTGAAATGAATGAATCAACTAATAAATAGAAAGAAAGGAAAAACGAAAACTTACAAGGAACCATTGAGAAGGGTGTTTGCACAAAATCTTTTTTTGTTGGGAAGCCAGAAATTGCAGTGCTTAGTCTCCATATTGCTTAGGTAGCTTCCTTCGCCAACCAAAATGTTTACAGCCTCCAATTAAGGTTTTCAGTATATTTTCTCATAGTTGTATAAACCATAGGTCAGCCAAGTCAACAGGAAAAGTCAATGAATTAACGGTCTAACTGCCAGAAACGTAGTCGAACAAGGAAACCTGCATACAGAAACAAACAGAAATAAAAATCTATTCAGTTCACACATACAATGTCCTTCAGTTGTTATCTTATTAGTTGTTGAGATTTTAAAACAGCGAGTAAATGCAAAGCTGGTTCAAACTATATCTTCAGCGTGGTTTGAAAAATCCAACCACTACGTACATCCTTAGTTATGCTTGATTACACAAGCATGACATGAAATCAATCTTTACTAATCAAAACTTTTCATCTATCAAATTATAGGTTCTGAATTTCATAATTTATGTTAGCGGCAGGCTACTCAAAATGTTTTCGATGTAAAGAATGTAATATGTAACACTCAAATAAAAATGTACATTCTTGATTAAGGGTCTTGTTAAGGAGCACCCTAAAGGAACTAAATAAGCTACATTTTTTATTCTTTCATCAGTACTTAGTCTTAGATCAGTTGTCAGCTGCTAGCATTTATTTGATTAATTTGGCCACTTTTTTTTCCATTTCAAGTCACAAAAATAACATGTTGGGTTCATCATTTGCAATTGATTTTGGAATAAGCGTCAATAATGCTTCCGTCCAATTAATCTTCACATGAGGGAAAGTCTAGTTCAGCTTCATTTGGTTGAGTCAATTAATCAAACACAACAAAGGCATCACACATTAATCATTAATTAATTAAATAAAGCACAAAACCATGTATTATTATCAATAAATTAAGAACTGGTTCGAATTTGCATGTCCAATATAACAAATACAATCAAAATTAAAAAGTAGCATAGAAAATAAACATTTCATGAAAGCTATATCTCTAAGAAAGCGCGAGTAAGAAGTAGAAGGCTTGTGAGAGAAGTACCTGAGGCAATGAAGACTTCGTCGAAATCGACGCCGGCGATAAACACAGAGACGTTGATTTGGACTGTGCAGAAAACGGGGGAAAACAGAACACCACGCAAAACCCAACCTAGTACATAGCTTAAGGGCGTCTTTGGCTTATTTGTACTTTTTCTTATTTAAGATACTCAATTCAAATCAAAAACTAATGTAATGTAGTCATATCTATAATTAATTCAATTTTTTTTTTCTATAATGTTAATCTGACTTGATTTAACAAATTGTTTTATGGTATAATATGGAAACATCTAATATGGAAGATTAGATTGTCCAGCTAATAAAACTTAGAAACAATAATGTTATTTCCTACGAGATAAATCAATATGTTGAAATGATCTAAAATATGTTCCGTTTTAAAAATTGAATTAGAGATTGAATAAGTAAAATTTGTGGTTTAAAATTTAATTGGTTAAATCGATTAAATTTGCAGTTAAACTGTTTATTAAATAAATTAATAATAAAAAATTAAATTTCATAGATATGTCACACATAATTATATGTTCACAACTTAATAAAATAAATATTTTAAAAATTTATTATCAATAATACATAACATAACATAGTTCTACATATCATTTCAATCATCACTTAAGAATATTAAAGAATTGTAATAAAATAAATTAAACTAATTCAAACCAAAATAAAAATAATAAAATATAATAACTAAAATAAAGTTTGAATAATTAAGAATACCTAAATTAAATAACATAGAATATTAAAATATAAATAATACAATATATTTCATTAAACAACAAAAAATCGAATTTAAGTTAAATTACGACAAACAAGAATTAATTGACAATAACAAATAATATTGACTTGAACGATAATCAATATTGAGTTGGACATCATGACTATATTTGAAAGTGACGACATGATGATGATGAAGTGTGGTGGTTGAAAGAAAAAATATAATGGAGTGACAAAACATATAAGTTTGTATGGCTGTAAAAAACACACAAAACTGAACAATTTGATGAAAAATGAAAAATGAAAAATGAACAATGAATAGTTTGTATGGTTTGTATGTTAAGTTTTGATTTTAACATATTAAAATTAAAAAAAAAAATGAAAAATGATCAATTTGATGAATTTTTGTTGAACCGAACAATTTTACAAAACCGACTTCGGTTCTTTGGTTCGAATGGTTTTGGATGGTTTAACCCGATTTTTTCGTTTTAACTCCGATTTTGACTCACTAGCGGCTTTAAAAGGTTGATCCAACCAAATTCATCTTCGATTCATGACCCAACTTGTTGAACTAAACGGTTCGGTTTGGTTTTTAAAACATTGGTTCCAATGTACAACTTTGATAAGAGAATTAGCTAGAATGTACAATTTTGATAAGGGAATTGACTAGAATTTCTCCACAAATACAAGACAAAGTTACATGTCTTTTGACCAAAGATCTCAGAGAAAAACATCGACGTTCGACATTGAAGGATTGAGTCTGGTACTAAGTGAAATTTCAAATGTTTGGTTATTCATCAACTCGACAGGTTAAAGGAGATTCAGCTAAAGCAAATTTAAATTTCAAATCAAATAACTATTTGTTTATCTTATCCAAACACCAAAGACAGGTGGAGATCAATCGAAGACAGACAGGACATGTAGAGGTGACATGTCATACGAAAGACAATTGAACGTTGAAGATCGTTAGTTTTGTAGTATTATAAATAGGGATTCTAGTGTTAGGAATCGATGTGGCAAAATTATTGTAAACTTCAATACAAACTCAAAGTACACATACGCAGGTGAGAAACGAGTCTCTGAATAAAATGTACTTGCCTACAAATTTTTACTTATGCAAATAAGGTTCCTTTTTATTTCATCTAATAGGAATCCGACAACATTAATGCGCAATTTCTTTTCCTAGAAATTTAGCATAATATGTCATAGGATTTACTAGTTTGGTCCTTCAAGCAATAGATTTAAAACTAAGTGATTGTTTATCAAAAACACTAGTGAACACACGGTAATGTGATGTAATATAATAAGATTGAACCTACAAAAAGATGAGTTTGAGTACTAGTTTTTATCTTAGCAATGTGTAGTTAAAGCGATCAAATATTCAAAGATTTAATACGCATGAAATAAAATTAACATATAAATAAAATAGGACATATGGTATAGGGTCGGCCCTGTGGGTGTGTAGGATGAGCCACCGCACATGGCCTTGATAAAAAAATCAGATTCAATTAATTAATATATAATTTAGTTATAATATATACAGGTTTGCAAATTGATTAATTGATTTATATAGTAGTTCAACGGATAGGTTTACATTTTGCAATGTAAGGGTCCTCAATTCAAATTTAGAATTTTGATTTTTATGATTTTAATTGTTTTATTCACACAAAAAATATCATTATGATACGACCATTCAAAAGTCTTATTCTATTGCTACTCCAAAAGCAATTATTGTTCAAATGTTAAATTGCTCAATATTTATTTATTAATGACAGTTTTTTTAAAAAAATATTAATTAGAGGCCTTATTTTTAAAATAAGAACATGGCCACTAAAATGTTTGGGTCAGTCCTAATAGGGTAGTGATCATCTATCTTGACCCACCCTATTGATCATCCAAAATTTAACACGAGAATATCAAATGATTATAAAAAAAAAGTAGATAAATATGTACTACACTCACTTTTGTGGCATGCGTACTACACGTGTTTCTGACACAGCTAAACAACTTTTTTCAATCGAGAGCAAGTCACCTTGTCATGGTAGGTGGCTCGCTACTCGATTTTTTTAGCAATCTGCGGTTCGATATTGATTCATATCCTCTTGGACTATGATCGCGTATGTGCTACCTTTGCTTTTGTAACCGAAAAAGTATATTTAAGATCTCGATTCCTAAAATAAAAATACTTATAACATGGTTCATGTTCAGATAAATCAATTTAGGAATCACCATGAGATAGAAACTCACAACCTCTTAGTCCTTAGAAAACTAATCACTCATGAGGTTAACAGCAATTAAACACGGTAAAAACATAACATGGTAATCAAGTAAATAATGTAAAGTGATTGCAAAAATAAAGAACGTGATTGAAAGAAAGCTTGACTAAAATAAAGATCTAGAAAAATACAGTAAGAACATTGCAGAAAAATACCAAGAAGATCAGAGAATCAAAACTAAAAGTTACAAAGTAAATGGAAGTAACAAGTGCCCCATTTGTCTCAAGCTCAAGTGTATTACTTACAAAAAAAACTATCAATTAATCACTCATAATTCGTGCACTATGATATGGTACACTAAATATTAAGTCTTGATCAGTTTTAGAAATCCAAAAGGCACAAAAGTGCTCTAAAAACGTTGGATTTCATAATTGTCGCTGCATACAACACTGGTGTGTCACCTGACACATGTGGGTCGTGTTAAGAAACACAACCTGTGTCATGGGACACAACCATCCCGTGTTGTTCAAGGTTTCCTTGTACGGGCGTAATAGCTTTGCTAACACGGCTCGTGTCAGTTGATACGACCCAATCATGTTAGCCTCTGGTATTTTGTATGGGGAGACTTTCTTTTCGTGTGACTCTTGGTCTTTTTCACTCCAGTTGGGTCTAGTACTTCTTATTTCCTAAAAACAACAAAAGAACGTATAAAACACATAAAATCAAACTAAATAAACACGCAATAAAACGAGAATAAAATAAGCTAAAAATACACTACAATAATCACATATCATGTATTTGCTAAAAATATAATGAGTGATAATCCTTAATTATGTAAGGATGTTTTAGGGTTTTAGGATTGTTATTGTGATTAAAGTAAGCTCACGCGAGATGATGAAATTTATATATTTGTGTGGTTTTCTGAGTGAATTGAATGTCCCATATTAACCTCAGGGTTGAGATATTTATAGAGGTTTATTAAGTCTGAATTCTTTGACCCATGGGTGGTTATTCTAACCCACTTAGGAGTACGAAACAATTATTCTCCATTTTCTTCGGGAGA